CAAAGAATTTTTTCAAATTTTTAATCAATTACGTAAATTCCTATAAGGTGCATCAGGGTAAGATCGGACGGTTTTTCTGAAAACTAAAATGGTCACGGAATATTATTTTTTTTCTCGTCTCTATTTACTCTCTAATAATTCAATAATATCTAATAGTATGCAAATAAGCAAGGCTTTCGTTTTCTATTTGTGATGTTTTCGTAACCACAAGCATTGGAGTTTTATAAATGATCAAAGATAACCTGACTATTCAAAATATCGAGGGAAAGTTCGGACCTTGATGGGGTAAGACCGGACTACTTCCTAAAACCATCACTATAACAATAAGAGTAAGCTCTATAACAAGAAAACATTCGATCTTATCCAAGTAAAAACATATTGAAGGGTTTTCTAAAAATTCCTTCAAAATTGAGTACTAGTAAAGGTTTTAACATGTATATATGTATTTACGTCCGATCTTACCCCGCATAGGCAAATTTAGAGGTTTTATGTTTCTCAAACTTTTACGTGCCAAAGTGCTCATTAAATTCGTATGATACCTATTTATTATGTAAGGTATAATTTAACTTGCTGCTCAATTTCTCATTTAGCTGATTCTACTACCAATACTTAACTTCGTACTTATTTGTTATTATATACTTATGAATCAATTATTAATATATTTTTAATATTTAGATGGAAGTCAGTTCTTTGAGATTGAAGATATTAAAAGAATATTTCATAATAGATAAACGACATTTATTAATTTCAAATAGAATAAGCGTTAAAGTAGGTATTGACGTAGCTATCTTCTAAGCACACATAATTAAATATTATCCAAATTATTGATATATGCAGTCTTTTGATACTAGTCATGTTAACAGGTTAAAAAAAATTAATAAGTTTCATCTTAATGAAACTTGCAATTTAACTAATCTTTGAATATAAAAAAATAATATTAATTTTATTAAATACCTGTTTATATGTTTCAGGGTGGCTCACACAATTAAATTTTCATGGTTTAATTAAAATGTGATTCGAGGGTAAAATTGTACCTCCTTTAGGTATTGTTATTTATTTAAGTTACATCCAATATACGTCCCACTGATGAGCACAGGCCTCCTCTCATTTCTGAGAGGGATTTTAGTGTAAGGAAATGTTGCGCCTTTAGATATTCATTTACTCACTAAGAATCATGAAAATAATCGAAATGGCTGAAATGCTTGCTAAAGTGTTGAAAGTGGTTCCAATCATATTTGTAACCAATCAAAACTTTCAGAGCCACATCGATTGTACGATTAAAAACATTGCTGCCATATTCGCGTATTTTTATCAACGGGAACTAAATGAGCTGAAATTTGCAAAAATAATGCTTAAGAAAATTTGAATTTCGTGGGTGACCCTGGAACATTTACAAAAATATAAAAACAACCAAATATACCATGAAAACATTCAGAACAAAAACATAGCATCACTTATTTATATTTGGTATCGGGTATGTAACGTTCGTAAATAAACTTACATTTTTAAACATTTGTATTTTTAATAAAGTTATTATAAAATCAATATGTTTCTCTATAAGTAAATTATTTTTAGCAAAAAGTATTCATTACATTGCGACAAGGGTTATAATGAACGTGAGTACGAACGAACGAAGAACGAAGGCACTAGCAGTAATACACATTCACAACAAATTGAGTTTCAACCTTTCCCAACACAGCTTTGTTTTTTCGGCCACATTCATTATTTTTTTAGATGCACTGTACCTAGTGAAATATTTTAGAAATAAATCTCGTCACTGTCGTTCATTAGCACATACTCATCGGGGTCTTCATTTATCTGAAGCAGTTCAATTTCTTTAACGATTGAAACTTCAGGTACGCAGTCTTGATCTTTTCGTTTAGGAACAACAAATTTAACATTTCCTTTTCTGCCGATAGTTTTGTAATAATTTATAGTGTATTTTTTTGTAGCCAAATAAGCATTTTCAATCACACCAACATAGTATTTCCAAGATTTAGTATAATAACGCGTTAAGACGGTATCTCCAGTTTTGTACTCATTCTTCTTCACTTTTTTATCATTTTCACAAAGCAAGCTTTCGTATTCTCTTACCTTGCTTTCGAAGTCGTCTGTCTGTGATGTACCCACCTTATTTTGTCGTTTTTCGGTTTTGTTCTTCATGTCATATGCTGTTTTGTTTGAAGATTCAAATTTTACACTAATCTGTGGTTTTTTGATTTTGATTAACTCCTTATCATTACTCTTTACTTTCATTGCAGGAGTTCTTAATCTTTTCACTGGCGTGTTTTCTTTATCTAAAGATTCTCCTTGTAAATCTTTACGCTTTAGGTTCGAACTTAAATTAAACTGTTTATCCACAGGTTCAAGTTTTAAGGTTGCACAAGTTTTTAAACCAATGAAAGGTCGATTTTCAGGTGTGAATCGAACTGATGACAGAACAGTGACTTTATTATTATTAAGTTCTGTATATTTTGTCTCATCACTTAATTTTTTTTCTTTTTGGGGATTATCATTCATCTTCAGATCGTTATTTATGCTTCTTTGTGTTCTATCATTTCTCGTTGAATGCTTCTTTTTTTGGCCGTTTTCAGTGTCTGTCAATTCCATTACATCATCAATCTGTAATGCTTTTATTATGTCAATGTCTGATGTCTTTAATAGAATCTAGATCAGTGTTTCTTCTTTGGTTTTCATCATCTATGTCCGACCAATCAGACATGACAAATTTAGAATTATCGCTTAATATGCCTTGTAAATCAGAATCACTGTGTGAGCTCATTTCACAGCTTTCAGACGTCGTGCTTAAAGACCTCTGCAAGTTTTTGGCTTGTCTTTTTAAAGGTTTTCTTTTTTGTTTGAGAATACCTTTCTTCAAACAACCTTCAGTCTTAATATTGATTCGTTGAGTTGGAGAGTTCTCGTTTGGTATAATTTGTTTATTGTAAAGATCTAAGACTTCTGTAGATGTGTTATTTGTTAAACATTTTTTATTTACTCCTTTTTTCATCCCAGATTTTGACTTCGTGTTTTTGCTGTTTTTTTCTTTTTTATTCTTTGTAACATTCTTAGGCTTATTATTTTTTACCTTAATCGAACACTTTTCTTTTGATATTCCCGATGGTCCAGGTTCTTGATGATCATCAATGTGTACATGGGAGTTTGATTCTGAATTTTGAATTTGTGGTTCTTTTTCTACTGTGATCTGATTTTTTACGTTTTTTTTCTCCAAATATGTATGTGTTATAACTTCCGCTCCTTTTGCTATACGTTTCATTTTGACTCTTGAGTTTTGTGGTTTTTGCGTAACCTTTTTTTAAAAGCAGTTCCTCAAAAGAAATACCGTAATTCACCGACTCTGCACGATTTTCAGGGCTAACGTGAATAATGTCCTGAAGTTTACGATCAATCTTCATTTCTTTGTTTAAGACGTCTATACATGACTGATTCAGCGATTTGAGTTTTGCTAAATTTCTTTGCCCACCTTTATATATCATTTCATTTTGCCATCTTTTATAAGCCGCTGGGTCATATTTTTCTTTTGGTATAACATTTGGGTCAAACGGGTAAATACCTCCTTTCATAAAGCCATTTTGAATCACTTTTGGTGTTGTTTGACTCCATGCTTGTGCAAACATTTCAGCAAACTCTTTCTTACGTATTTTAAATCCGACATTTTGGCGTTGCCATTCCACAAGTTTTTTGTCCCAAATACTTTTAAATGACTTGAAGACCGCTAAGTCTAAAGGTTGTAGCAAGTGAGATGTATGAGCAGGCAGTTTTAAAATGGTTATGTTGTTTTCTACTGCTAATGCTACGACTCGTTCGTCAACGTGGGTGCTATGACCATCGTAAATTAAGAGCACTGGTTTTTCTTCTCCTAAACTTGGAATTATGACCTTAACCATGTAATTATAAAATATTTCGGTCTCCATCCAACCGCGTTTGCTAGAAGCATAAGCAACTTCAAAATCATATTCTTCATTTTGATCTGCCATCCATTGGTCATATACGTAGCTCCCTTTAAATACAATTAAAGGATTCAATTTGATGCCAACCGCGTTGACAGTCGTTAACACGGTAATATTTTCTTTTGCAGATCCAGCCGTTGTCCTTGTGCATGGTGCACCTACTGCGCCAACAACTTTCGTTTTTGTTGGATCTAAACATACAGAGGTCTCGTCTAAATTCCAAATCCTATGCGGGTCGTTTAGGTTCAACTTCTCAAGGGTGCTTCCTAGTAAAGTGAAATACTCGTGTATTACAAAAGGATCTGTCATGCGTTTTCGGAGGTACTCTATTGGTTGAGGTTTTTTAATGGATAGCTTGTGCCGCTTTCGGAACGAAAGAAACCAATCGTTCCCCGGTATATCATTTATGAATGGAGTTTTTATTTTATTTCTCTTTATAAACTCTGACACTATGTCAATCACTTCAGATTTAGATAAGCCCCAACCCCATTTTTCCATTCTACGTAGACCTGATGCTAGTTTGGTTTCCATATCTAAAAGTATAGCAGGTGATCTTCCTAGGGTACGACTTTTTAAACCTGTTTTACCATTAACTCGATCACTAAGGGTAGATGCTGGAATCCCGTAAAGTCTTGATGCAGCATAGTTAGTTAGTTCTTTTTTTCTTACTTTTTCTACAGCAGTTTCCAAGTCTTTTTGCGAGTACGCAATTGCTCTTTGTGATGTTCGGCTGTAGTTTTAGGCATGGCGAATCTGTAAAAAATAAAAATTTTGTTGCAAAATATTTTTATTTCGGAAACTTTCGGGAAGACTGGTGGGAAGCAGCATGTGACCGAAAAAATTGGAGGAATTTTGTACCTATTTAAAATTATTTTCATGTATTGTGTTTATATTTTAATTTTAATATATATGAGTATTAAATAGTCATCTCTGTGTTTTTAATTTATTGAACGTGTATATGTAACTGATCTCCTTCAAATGGCTTTGAATTTTTGTGTGTGTTGTTGTGAAATTAAGTTAATTCAAGAATGGTTAAGATTCACAATTGGGCCCAGTAGGTGGCGCTGTTGTTGAAATCCAGAAATCACCCGCGTGAAACCAGGGTGGATCCCTGGTATTTAAATAACTTTGCAAGCTCTTTGCTAATGTCGTCACAAAGCAGTCATAATTTCTATGTATTGTCTTTCCCTTACCAGCGTAACTAACTATTAAACAATAAATATTGAATGTTGGTGTTATATTATTACTGTCCTTTTACATCAAAATTTTAGGTCTCCTTTTCGATAATTATCAGCAAAACTGAAAATTTGGTAATAAATAACTACCCATTAGAAAAAAATATTAACAACAGTTGCTCAAAATAGTCCTACCGAGTAAATAAAAATATAAAAGCAATGCCCAAAAAAAAAATATCGAATTAGAGGGACCTTGCCCAGTAGTGTAAAATATAGATTAAAAAAAAGTTTGAGAAGCACTTTAACGGTATAGACCGAATTTTTTTTAATCCGATCTTTACCTATTGATATTTTCGAGGGGTAAGATCGGATTTCGGCCCGCAAACGTCTTCAGCGTGATTTCAATAATCTAATTAAACCGTCATATAACGCTCATTAATAAAAAATTACGAAACTAGTAAAAAAATTAAAACTACTTACCAAATTGTCTGTGAAAATTCCTTGGGGTAAGATCGGATCTTCTCAAAAAGCACGTCTAGTCTATAACTTCACTTACCTAGATCATTAAAACACCCGTCCGGCTTGGCGTAGCGCTAGACGCAGACTAATGGGACGGGCAAACAAAAAATGGCGCGTAACGCTACGTTGTCAACAGTTAAAAATATTGCCAAATGCAGCGGTAATATAATTCCTACGATCTTAGCCCTTGTACGATCTTACCCTGATGCACCTTACTTAGCTTTGATTCTTTAAGACTTGGCATTATTCTGACATCAGCTTTTACTGAACTTCGCTGGGGTAGGATTAATATGGCGTTATTTAGATTTAGGTTAATAAAAGACATTTATTTTATCAATTTTTTTTTAAAAGAATCTCCAAGTTTTTCGGGAAAATATTGCTTAGATCACTCCTAGCATCGAACTATTTATCTGTTTGTTGAGTTTCACTGCAATCTATTCCAAAGCTTAGCTTGCATATAGAGACAGACAAAAATTTTAAAAATTTTATTCATATCTTACAGTCATGCATGTAACCTCCCCCCCTCCCCCTGCTATATAAGGCAGTGGGCAGTAATATTACAGACGGACATTTCAATTTTATTTATATTATGTACATAGATAATAAATATAATATTTTAATCTTGTAACCACGCGAAACGAATTGAAGTATACGTAAATATTTTTTTTCAGTTAAAATTGTTTTTGAGATATACGATAAACTCAATTCAAATTATAAAACTTCTCAACCGACCCTACCTCAAACCTTGTACAGAACTTTTCCCCTTTCCACATTTATGTGTTTGGTGTAATTACATTTTTATAGAATCGTAATTTACACGAATATGGACATCCAGTTAATATGGTCACTTTCTTATAACTCAAAATCTTTAGTCTTGTTTCCATAGATGGTTCTGTGATACGATAGCTCTTCATCAGTCACTCAAATAATAAAGAGTCAAAAGGGTGCTGTTTTATTAAACGCCATTTTGATAGTTAAAAATTATAGTTAAGTATTTTAGTTGATTTTAGTTTTGTGTAGTGTAGTTAGGTTTTTTTAATTTGATTTTTCGAAGTGTTCCATATTATTGCCAAAGCCCGTTTACTATTGTTTTCTTAATATATTAGTTAGAGTATATGACTTTGCTTTTTGTGTTCTATCTTATTAGTTTTGGTTTTGTAGGGCGGCAAAGCTTAATGTGACCACAATACCCTCACGTACCTTACTAATTAAATTGAGGTCGGACAAAATCATCTGCATTCGTTAATATTATGATTATTTTACTAGCCAGCACTTCAGTCAGATCGAAAACAATTCTTTTAAGCCATACAAATAATTGTTCTGATTCGAACGCGCAACCCCGCAGCACCATAGCAATTTGCTTTCCATTGTGTTGCCAAGGGCTTATATATATATTAATTAACAGTACCCGGATGACCGAGCTTTGCTCGGTTTTTTTTAAGTTACATTTAGATACAAATTACATGAATAATATTTTTTGATCTTATTGACATAATAGAAAAAACTGAACTGGTTATTTAAATAAAAAATCATGAGTGCAATTAGTTTAATTAAAAATTTTCGTTAAAAAAAGTGCTCGAAATAATAGATTTTCTCACAAAAGAAGGGAACTTGAAAAAAAGGAAAAAAGTCGGACTCAAGACGGGACGCGAACCAAGGCTTTACGATTTCACGACCGCTCAATAATATCCACTTGATCATTCATAAAGTGTCAAAATATACCTTCTTATATTGTAGCAGTTTTTCATTGCCTGAAAACACGGACAAAAAGACATTTTCTAAAAATAAATCTCAGCTAGATCGATTTATTGCCCCCGAAACTCCCTGGACACAAAATTTTATGAAAATCGTTGTAGTCGTTTTCAAGATTCCGATTATATAATATATTCTAAGTCTAATTGGATTCTAAGTCGCGCATAGATGTACATGTCTGTGGGCCACAGCACGTGCTCGTTTATCATCATACATTCTATAAAAAAAATATTTCATTTTCCTATTTACATGACTTGTCAGTGACATTCTTTTATCTTTATGTGATAATTTCCGCTATCATCAAACATCAATGAAAAATACTATGTAACATATCACGCTGATGAATAGCATCCCTAAATAAACTCGCGTCCTTTAATTTCCTTTCAGTTACAATAATAATTAAAATGTGTAGTGATATCATGTCAATCAACAAATCTAGTTATAGTCATAATTTACTTATTAAGACCCTCGAATCTAAAATCTAAAATAAATGGTTTTTGACTATCTTTAATCTAAATACCCAAGGCCAATACTTGACTAGTATATTTATTTATTTATTTATTTATTTAGGTAATCATACAGCGTTTTTATCGTACAATTTACAATACCTACATATTATCATATAGTAAGGCCAATAGAGATTACACAATTTATATCAACTAATAATTAAGCGTGCGTGCGTGCGTGCGTGCGTGTGTGTGTGTGTGTGTGTGTGTGTGTGTGTGTGTGTGTGTGTGTGTGTGTGTATGTGTGTGTGTGCGCGCGCGTGTGTGCGTGTGTGTGTGTGTGTGTGTGTGTGTGTGTGTGTGTGGTGTGAGTGTGTGTGTGTGTGTGTGTGTGTGTGTGTGTGTGTGTGTGTGTGTGTGTGTGTGTGTGTGTGTGTGTGTGTGTGTGTGTGTGTGTGTGTGTGTGTGTGTGTGTGTGTGTGTGATTATGCCCTATTTTTGTTTATAACATCACGTTTGATGCGACTCTTGGATAGGTTGAAAATATCCAAGTCAGCGTAAAACTTATTATAGTTTTGAACAATACGACATAAAGTAGAATTTTTTGCGTAATTTGTGTTTGCTCGTGGTACGTGAAATAATGGCGTATGTCTAGTTCGGTATTTAGGTACTAGTATCGATATTTTAGATAACAGGTCTGGACAATCTATGTTACCAGACCATAAACCGTGTAGCAAAAACATATCGTGTTGAAGTCTTCTGAGCTCCAAGGTATCTAAGCGGTAAAATTTGCAAGCATTTTCGTATGAAGCAAAACTATTATGATCTTTTGATGAGATAAACTTAATGAACAGTTTTTGAATTGATTCTATTCGATGCTTATGCTTCGCATACTTTGGAGACCAGATTGTATTAGCGTATTCGAGAACACTCCTTACGTATGCAAAGTATAGAGCTTTAATGCAATTAATACTGCTAAAATCGTTGCAGACGCGCTTTATGAATCCAATTTGCTTGTAGGCTATAATAAACCTTATTACAGTATTACAAGACAATACTTTAGAATTAACAATTCCTTCCCTATTCGCTGTTTCTAACGCTGTTACAAAAGCTTGACAATATAAAGACCGTAATTACGACGATTTGTTAAAGTCGGAGCGACGTGCTAATGTAGAATTCAGGCTGAATTGCCTTCATTAGGTGTTACTGCTAGGCGCCCTCCTCATAAAGATGTAATTTTGTTTAACCGCGTATTCGTTGTACTCCCGATTACTCCCTACGGTGCGTACCACAGAAATCGTAATAATAAGACAATAGAAGTCGCATAGACGCGTGACCTTATCGCGGCTATGATGTGTTGATGAACATCATTCACCATTTTGTGATTTAGTTGCGTGGGGAACGTCGTACGTGAATTTATGTTATTATAATCGTGAACTGCAGCAGTTGTAAAAACTCATCAATGACGTGTGATTCCACTAAAACACACACACACACACACACACACACACACACACGAATACACACACACACACACACACACACACACGCACACGCACACGCACATGCACACGCACACGCACACGAACACACACACACATACATGAACACACAACACACACACACACACACACACACA